GTGGGCCGACTCCGGTGCCAGGCGTTTGATCTATGTGTTGTGTTGTGTGGACGCAGCGTGAGGAGAGGCGCGGGAAAGGTCACGAAAGAAAGCTGTGGCGAGGGAGGGCCAAAACACTGCACAGATGCAAAGGCAGACGAGCACCACACACACACACACACACACACACACACACACACACACACACACACACACACACACACACAACAAAGCAACAGCCCTCACGGATTCGGTCAAGACGTGTGAGGCGGGCTTTCGGCGAACATTGCGCCGCCTCGCGTCCGTTTTCTGTTTGACACATGAGAAGAAGCAAGCAGTTGCACCAAAACTTGCGTGTGAGAGCTTATGTGTTCCAAAAGCCAAGCCTCCAACCACCACACTGTGTTGTCGCCACACACACACACACACACACACACACACACACACACACACACACACACACACAGACACACACACAGACACACACACACACACAGAGCACAGCCCGCAGTTGGCGCGCACCGTTTTCTTCTTTGGCATCGTCGCTGTTGGTGCAGGTTCGGAAAAATACAGGAAGATATGGGCGAAACTCGTCGATTTCAGTGCCTTTTTTGTCATGTCGAAACCGGTTTAAGAGCAGCAACTTCGACTTGTGCACCTCCTGTTGCCTCGTTCCGCAACAGCAACCACCACCACCCTTCTCCCGCACGAATCCACCTCCGCTTTATCCTCCTTCCCTTCTCTCACTCTCTTCTCAACTCTGTTCCTTCTACCTGTCTCCGTCTGTGTGTCGCTGACCACTGCGATGGATCCGGAGGTTCTGCAGAATGTGGCCAACGCGGTGATGGTGATGCAGGATCCCAGCGCACCGGCAGAGACCAAGCACGAGGCGTTTGAGTACTTCAATGCCTTCAAGGATCAAGCACAGGACGCGCCAGCATACGGCCTGTACATGGCATCCATCCAGGAACAGAGCATGATTGCTGACCACAACGACCTCATCCGCCACTTTGGGCTGCAGGTGCTTGTGTACGTGCGTGCGTGCGTGTGTGTGTGTGTGTGTGTGTGTGTGTGTGTGTGTGTGTGTGTGTGTGTGTGTGTGTGTGTGTGTGTGTGTGTGTGTGTGTGTGTGTGTGAATCCCGCGCTGCAGGACTGCTCACTCCACTTCACTCACCTTCATTAATTGGTGACACCACGTTTGCAGCTGCTGGAGCATTGTGTGCAGCACCGCTGGGATTCGTACGCCCAAGAACAGAAGGAGGTGCGTCAAGACAACCGCTGCGTCGAGTTTGTCGTTGTGTTGGCGGTATTGCGCCCCACATGCCCGAGCAACCTACACACGTTTCCGTCTCACCTCCCCCCTCCCACTCTGTTACCTCCTTCCACCACTCACTCTTGTTTCACTCTCTTCTTTCTGACTGCAGGAGATGAAGCAGGCACTCCTGCACAACCTGATCATGCGCGGCACCTTCCCGCTGCTGCAGGAACGGCCGTTCATCATGGAGAAGATTGCCAGCCTTGTCTCCGAGGTTGCCATTCGCGAATGGTGCGTTGCTGTAGCCCAAGCAGTGTGTAAAGGGTTCTCAAGGGAAACATGCGGCATCATGCGTGCGCGTTGGCGTGACATGACTACAATTGCTCGCAATTGTCACATGACTGGCTTGTTATTCACGGTGTATGCATGTATCTGTGCATCTGTGTGTGTGTGTGTGTGTGTGTGTGTGTGTGTGTGTGTGTGTGTGTGTGTGTGTGTGTGTGTGTGTGTGTGTGCAGGCCGCAGCGGTGGCCGGACTTTCTCGACATTCTCCTCGAAATTGCAGCCAACAGCTCCACCCAAACATACATCGTGAGTGCTTCGTGATTGAGTGTGTGCGTGTGCATGTGTGTGCATGTTTGCATGTTTGCGTGTGTGTGTGTGTACGTGCGTGCGTACAAGGCAGTGCTCGTGTGGTGTCTGCAGCTCATCCCTGACCCGTGTGCATACGCAATAGGTGTTGACGTGCTTGAAGACATTCACCGAGACGATTTTCCAGTTCAGTGACGCACTCACCAACCAGCGCCGCAACGACCTCGTGCGTAGCCATCTGCGTTTGTGTGTGTGTGTGTGTGTGTGTGTGTGTGTGTGTGTGTGTGTGTGTGTGTGTGTGTGTGTGTGTGTGTGTGTGTGTGTGTGTGTGTGTGTGTGTGTGTGTGTGTGTGTGTGTGTGCCTGTGCCTGTGCTTGTGCCTGTCTTGCGTGTGTAAGTAAGTATGTGTGTACAGGGTATGCATGGGTGCTTCACTGTCGCTGTTGCGTTTGTGCCTTCGTGTATGTGTGCTGTTCTCCCCTTCCTCATGTGCCCATTCACGTGACTGTACACGCCGGTCCTTTTCATTTGCAAACCCGTCCTCCCACACTGATACGTCTTGATTCGCGTCCCTAGGATGCTGGTTGTTGCGCTTGTGGCGAGCTTCAACAACCTGCCGACAGCCGAGGAGCACCAGGAGCAACTGCAGACGCTCTTTGGCGCCATCCTCCAGGAGTGGCTCAACCTCGAGCACATCGTCTCCTCCCCAGAACAGTGCGTTGTGTTGTTGCCACCCCAACACCATCATCGCCCTCGCCAAGCCGAGTGTTTCTGCCTTTCCCCAACACACACACACACACACACAAGCGCGCGCATGCATGTACAAACACTCTCACTCGTATGCACCTTTGTTGCCCTTCCAAATCCCAAACTCACCGTCGCTGTGGATGGCAGGCTTGTTGAGTATGGCGGGCTGAACCAGCCCATGGTGGACAACCAGAACAACCGCACCATGATGATGACCATCCTCGGCTCCCTCGCCACCGCCCTTAGCAACACAAAGCCACGCCCAGCCCCGGTACGCGTTGCATGCGGTGTGTGTGTGCGTGCGTGTGTGTGTGTGTGCGTGTGTGTGTGCGTGTGTGTGTGTGCGTGTGTGTGTGTGCGTGTGTGTGTGTGTGTGTGTGTGTGTGTGTGTGTGTGTGTGTGTGTGTGCGCGCACACCAACGCTCGTTTACCACCTGCGCGGTGTTGTGAATGTCCCCTTCAATGTTACCAACAACCATTTCTCGTCCATCCCCAACCCCCCCCCCATTCAATGCTCTCGTCTCTGTCTCCACTGTGCAGTATGCAAAGGCGACGCCCAACGGCAATGGCGGGTGCGACTCGGGCGGCATTGGCTCGGCCTTCCCGAGCCAGGCGCTGTGCGAGCTTGCCCTGCCGCTGGTGCTCAGCCTCGTGCGCACCCTGCACACACTCGAGACGCAGGCGTGCACGGCGCTGTCTGGGGAGCTGCGCGTGCTGCTTGGGCTGCGGCGGTCAGACATGCTGCTGCACCTGCCCAACGTCGTGGACGAGTCTGCGCGCCAGATGGACCCGCACCTGCTGTGGGTGGACCGCTCGCAGCTGTGGCTGGCCTCCCTGCGCACCAACGTGTACACCATCCTGCAGAGCTGCGCCAAGCACGGCATCCTATACTACGAGGGCGTGCTGCCCATGTTTGCCGACACCGTCATGACCGGGCTGGACGAAATGTCCAGCCACAACTGGAAGGCCTTCTTCCGGCACGTGGTTGCGCCGTTTGAGCAGTACATCCCGCGCTCGCCCCCAGCACTGGACGCCGCCACGGCCGTGCTGGGCCAGCTGTACGCGAGCGCGGCCGCGTTTCTCGAGCGCGCCCTGCCGCCCATTGAGGCGGCAGACCAGGCGGCAGCAAACGGCAACGCGCGGGAGGCACCGCAGGCAACGATGGCGAGCAGCTTCCTCACGGCGGAGCAGCGGGAGATTGTGGACGACGCGCTGCGGTCCACGGCTGCAGACGCCGTGCTGGTGCACTTCCACCAGATGCTGAGCGACCACTGCCAGCCCGCGGCAGACAAGGGCAAGGACGAGATCTTCGTGAGCCCGTTGGCCACCTACTTCCTTTTCTCCGACGCCACGGCGCTCGCCATCATCCGCATCACGCAGGTGGCGCTGACGCGTGGCAGCGGCAGCCTCGCCAAGCGCGCGGCGTCGTGTGTGTCCCGCATTGTGCGCACGACGGCGGGCAACGACGTGTATCGGGGCGTCGTGCAGCAGCAGCTGCTGCCGGCCACGCTCAAGGCCATGTTCCACCACGGCCAGCACCAGGAGTACCTCACCGACTTTGTCAACCTCCTCATGTTCGTGTTGGCAAGAAGTTGGGGTGGGGGGAGGGGGGGGAGGCGGAAGTTGTGCAGTATGTTGTGTGTTGTGTGTTGTGTGTTGTGTTGTTCTGTCTGTTGCGTGGGCATAGCTTTCATCAGCCTCTGCTCAATAGTCTCACCCATTCCGTGTGTGCGTGCGTGCGTGTGTGCGTGCGCCAACTGTGCAGGCGGTGCATTGATGTATTGCAGCCGGAAGACATCCCGGATGCGTTTGGTTCCATTCCAAACCTGGATGTCGAGGCCATCCAGCGCTACTACTCTGAGGTGTGCACACTCCCACTACAGTTGTTGTTGTTTAAGTTGTTGTTGTTTAAGTTGTTGTTGTTGTTGTTGTTGTTGTTGTTGTTGTTGTTGTTGTTGTTGTTGTTGTTGTTGTTGTTGTTGTTGTTGTTGTGGAGTGCACGGATGTGCACAACCTCTCGTTTGGCTTCTCGCCCTGCAAGACACTCTATTTTCAACCGCACACACACGCGCGCACATCATGGCACTCACACTTTGTCAACAACACACCCTGCTCTGCGCCCCCCCCCCCCACTCCCAACAGGTGCAGAGCGGGCATCTGAAGAGCGTCAAGTCAAAGCGCAACCAGTTGAAGAAGCTGTTCCAGAGCTGTATTGGCCTGCACGTCAGCCAGTGGGCCTCGGACCGCGTCAAGGTCCTCAATCTTCCCGAAAAACTCTTTCTCTCCAGCAAGCAGCGCCGCTCCACGCAGGACAGCGATGATGTGACGGTTCTCCCAGACTTTTTCGACGCATAGCATAGCGTTGTAGTGTTGTAGTGTTGCAGTGTCTCTTGTGTGCGTTTTGAGAGCCATGCATGTTTTGTGGCGTGAGGTTCGGTTGGTTGTGACTCATGTTGTGTGTGTGTGTGTGCGTGCGTGCGTGTGTGCGTGTGTGTGTGTGTATGGATGTGTGGTGGAGCGTCGTTTGACGTTGGTTTCTTCGTTGTTACATAGTTAGGCTCGTGTCATGTTCGTAGCATTGTCCTTCACTTGCTCGCTCAGGTTCGCCCCCCCCCCACACACACACATCGTAAGTTATGCCTTGTTGGATACAGGCAGCAGCAGAAAACCAAACAAACATCCCCCACCTGTCATGCGTGCTTTTGTGTAGTTTCTCAGAGCAACGGTAATAAACGACTTGCTGAAACCGTTTACACAGGAAGTGTGTGTGAGAGAGAGAGAGAGAAAGGGGACACCAATCACTTACAAGTGCCTCACACAGTCACACACACACAAATACACAGAGAGACATGTCGTGTGTGCTATTCTGGGGCGGCATCTGGGGCGGGCAAATCAAAGTCCTGCACTTGTTCCGCCAGCGCCTTTGCCAACATCTGTTCACAGAACGCGTCCGAGGGATTGAGGGCCAGCGCCTATTGAAGAAGGGGGGGGGGGGAGAGAAAGCGTCGTGGGGTGAGAAGACATGGTGGGGGTGATGCAAGAGATGGGGTGGGGCATGATGGGATGTGTGAGCGCGCGAGGCTTGGTAGGCATCGCAAAACAGACAGCAAGCAATGATGCACACGCAAGTGTTGACACGACTGCACGTGCACCTTGTGGTAATACTGGATGGCGCGTTCAAAGTCGTCTCTGAGGTGATAGATGAAGGCAAGGCCGGCGTGGGCGACGCCTGAATCCGGCACGAGCGAAAGCGCCTCCTCATACAGCTGCACCGCTTCCTCGTACTCCCTGCAGCGGTGTGTGAGTGAGTGAGTGAGTGAGTGAGTGAGTGAGTGAGTGAGTGAGTGAGTGAGTGAGTGAATGAGAGAGTGTGAGTGAGTGAGTGTGTGCGAGCGTAGAAGACGATGGTGACGCAGTGGCAGATGTGAGTGGTGATGGTGTGTGTGATCAAGCTCACTCGAGTCGCAGGCGAACGCGCGCGAGGTTGACGAGTGTGGAGTGCAGGCGTGCCGGTGCCTGCAAACGAGCCGGAAAGGGAAGCACAAGCAAACAAACAAGAGGGTAAGTGAGCTGATGACAAGCAAGCAGTTGCTCAATCTCTTACGCGTGAAGAGAAGGGAGGCAGGGGTCACATGCAAGCTGAGCAACAGCACAAGCACCAGCACCACCAACAACAGCACCACCAGCGCCAGGCAACACCACGCGTTGATGACTTACGAGTCTAAGCCGGCGGAAGAGCTTTCTCGCTTTGTTGAAGCACTTGATGGCGTCGTCGTGTCGTCCTTCGTGGTAGTGCAGAACACCCATCTCGTGGAAGATGGCCGGGTCGGCGTCTGGCACGGAGAGCAGGGGGAGGGGGTTATGCATTGCAGGGAGAGCAGGGACAGGGAAAGGAGAGGAGAAAGGACGACACAAACGTACGTTTGTGCACACACACGCACACAAGACTAGACACGTTCACAAGCACACATGAATGTAAACATTGCACTCGCACAGCCGCACACATATGACTGCACACATGCAGCGCACCGTAGATGTCTGCTGCCTGGCGATAGTAGCGCATGGCGATGGGGCGGTTGTTCGTCTGCGCATACTCCATGCCCATGTACAGCAGCGGGAGGTGGGAGCCGGAGAGAATGCGAACGGCGTTGCTGTATGCCGCCATGGCCTGGTCGTGCTCGCCCTCAACAGCAAACGCGTGCGCAAACCCAATCCACGCAGGCCCGAAACTCACGTCCTTTGTCGTCGCTTTGCTGTGTGTGTGTGTGGGGGGGGGGGGGAATGTTGGAGTTGGGTGAGGGGAGAGTGCATGAAAGTGAGTGTTGTGGTGTGTGTGGATGTGTGTGTGTGTACCTGAAGTATGTGCGAGCGACTTCATAGAACTTGGTGGCAAAGTAGTAGCTGCCAACAGCAAACCACGTCACCTGAGTGGAGAGAAGCAGAGAGAGAGAGAGAGGCTGGACACGTGAGTTCAGAATGGGCGTGAGGGCAATTGAGTAAGTACACACACACATATACACAGGCGAACACAGCATCGTAGACACACACACACACACACACAAATGCACGTACGGCCTTCTGTGGCATGTTGTCGACGAGTTGGTGTGCGAGGTAGAACAAAGAGTTGATTTCCTTCAGCTCCACTTGACACGCAATGTGGAATGGCAAGCACGCCTCGTTGAACTTGTCGTTGTCCAGCACTCTGCAAGCAAACGGTCGAACCAGATGCATGGTCACAGTTGTGAGGTGTGTGTGTGTGTGTGTGTGAATGTGTTGAGGTGACAGCTCGTTCGAAAGACAATCGCACACAGTCCTTGCGCTGCATGCCACATTGGACTGACTTTGTGGTGATGGTGAAGCTCTCCTCAAACTGTCCTTGGTTAAACAGCTGTGCCGCCCGCGATACTTGAATATCCTGCCACAGTACACAGCCATGGTGTGTGTGTGCGTGTGAATGTGAATGTATGGCAAAGAACTGACGATAAGACATGAAACGTGAGCATCGTGGCGCAGGCGTTTGCGAACGGCACAGTGTCATTGACACACGTACAGGGTTGGCAAGCAGCTTGATGGGAATCTGGTCGCTGATGGGAACCTCTTGGTACTGTTTGCCGAACGAGATGGTGCATGAGCGAGTGAAAGAGCACGCACGCTCGCGCATATCCATACGCACACACACACACACAAGCTCGCATGCGCGCACATACACACACGCGCACGCACATACACACCCGCTCGAAAAGGCTGCTGTAGAGAAAGTCGGTGATGTCAGTCAGAATATCGCCCTCCTCCTCAGATGCAAGCTTGTCTTGCATCACAGGCAAGATGGAGGCCACCAGCTGCGTCTCTGTGAGGAGTTCAAGCAACCACAACGCGATAACATCGTTGGTGAGACTTGTGGCGTTGGCAACAACGAAGGGGCGCAAAGTTGAGCGGTGTCACGAACACCCAGGCACACCCACACACACACACACACACACACACACACCCACACACACACACACACACACACACGCACGCACACACACACACACCTACCTTCAGAGTGCTTCAAAAGGTGGTGGTCGGCGAGCCGCTGCAGTGCCTGCAATGCAAGCAGGCGGCAACACGTGCGCGTGAGACAACATGATGGCATCTTCCAGTGGTACCACTACCTGCACCACGCACCCAAGACCGTAAGCCATCTGCACCACCATGTATGTACACAGGCACCAGTTGAAGGCCGACCTCTGCGCAGAACGGGTCGTGGTTGAGGGCTGCGCGGTAGGATCGAATGGCTTTGATGCGGTTGTCCTGGTTCTCGAAGATCTTCCCTCGCAACAGCGCCAGCTGTGCCCGCACGTCGGCGATGGGGTGAAAGTCCGCCACCTCCGCATCTGCCACGCGCAGCTCATCCAGGTGCTCGTCGTCCACGCCAATCACGTCCAGCGCCTCCTCGCCCCGATCAAGCGCCGTGAAGCACTGGCCAACAATGAGGCGCGCTGCAGGGGACTGCCGCACCGCGTCGTACTTCACCAGCACGTGCATGGCCCGCTCGTACTGCTGCAGGCTCATGTACGCCTTGGCCAGCAAGTACACGTCCTCCAATGCGCCTAACGTGGGAAGAGGGGGAAGGGATGAGGACTGGAGGAAGATGGACGGGAGGGTTGATGAGGAGGAGGCACAGGAGCATTGTTGGAAATAGGGCGGAGGGGATGCGAAAGGGGGAGGAGAAAGAGGAAAGAAAGCGTAGTAACACCACATGAACGCACACAACACACACACGTACCATCTGTGGCCGTGACGATCTTGTCTGCCCAGAAAGCTGCAGAGGCAAAGGAGGACGAGGCCATGTACTCCTTCACCTTCCGTCGAAGCGTCTCAACCCACCGCATCCTGCTTCGTGTGTGCTGCTTTGGTTGGCCGTGGCACTGTAACGGACAGTGGTGTGTGCTGTTTGCTTGTTGCGTTGCTTTTGCAAGTGCAATTTGCAGTGCAATTTGCAAAAGGAGACTGAATTCAGACGAATGTAAGCAAGCAAGCATGCACTTTTCTCTCCAACAACTCCTGCCACTCCAGTCCGACACGAGCAGCCGACTCAGACCGCAAAGAGACCAAAGAGAGCACAGACCGAAAGACAGCATGGCTGGCAATGATGATACGTTCCCTGCGTGGTTCGAGACACTGATTCGTTCCATTGAAGATGGCTCGTGTGGCGGTCGAGTCAGGTAAGTTTCTTTCTCATGTTCGTATTTAGGTGTTTGGGTGGTTTGTGTGTGTGTGTGTGCGTGTGTGTGTGTGTCTATGTCTGTGTGTGTGTGTGTGTCTGTGTGTGTGTATGTGTGTGTGCGTTTGTTGTGTTGTGCGTGTGTGCAGCATCTTCCAGGTTGAGAAGAGTGCCACCGATCGGCAAGGCGAGGGCGTGCGCATGCGCTCCCACGGTTGTCGACTCATGTGTTCGCATCTAAAACACTTTGAACCATGCTCTTCGCGGCTGGTAGCTTTGGCGAACGTGACCCGCGTTGGTCAACAAAACTAACCACGAACATGACCGAAAAGTTGGCTGAAGTTCTGAGAACCCATCACGAAATCGTGACTGATTTAACGTATTGTATCTGAATCGGTGATGCATGGTACATTGGAAGAAGCGTTGAGGATGCAACGCCGTGCACATGAGCTTGTGTAAACTTGTGTTACAGCCGAGCATGCGCTGTGAACTAATCCACATCACGCGCATTTGCGTGTGCTGTGATGTCGTTGCTGTTTTGTTGTTGTATTTGATGTTGTGTTGGTACGCGCGTGCACGTGTGTTTTGTCTTGCTCAGGCTGACCTTCATTGACTTTGGCGCTGCCGGAGGAGCTGCATTGGCAGAGTCGCTTGGGAGCTTGAACAGCCTGCAATCCCTTCAGTATGTGTGTGCGTGTGTGTGTGTGTGTGTGTGTGCCGG